TCATTAGAGGAAGATTGCCTCTGCAATGATGTGGTCTCATTTCTTCACCCTAACTTCTACTTCTCTTTTCATACAACTCCACAGAAAACTCGGACTTTAAAGAAGGCAACATCTATGCATAACATTTTGTAATTTTCTTTAATTTTCTGTCTTTTCTAATCACTACCAATGTTGTCTTCTTCTCAATTGCTCTATTTTTTTTTTTATCTAAGCCTCTACAAGCTTTTTATGATAGTGTTCTGTTCATTTCCCCATTATTTCTTAGCTAAAACTTTCCAATTATTTTGTCTTTAGTTAAAAGACTTCACTTCTTCAAATTCACCCCGGGCAACTTCATTATTTTGCTTTCCAGCTATCTATCCAGTGTCAATTATGGGACCATTTTTTGCTGTGTTACTGAAGCAATGATAGTCCAGTTCTCTAACAGAGTGATAACAACATTTGACTCACAATTTTATTTTTTTAATTGCTCATGGATTTTAATCTACTTTGTGAAATTCATTTCTATTTTAAACACAATGAAGTAGAAATGTGATGAGCTGTTAAATGAGTGGAGGCTGGGAATACAGACATCATTGCCCCTCTGTTGACTTTGACCTCATTTTGCTGGCAACCAGAGCTACCCACTATAAAAAGGATTCAAAACAAATGGCTGATTTTTGTTGATAAATGTGCCTAATTAGTAATATTTTGGAGGCACTTGACACCACTGAATCAAAGAACTGACCTCGATATCAGAATATTGTACCTCATTGCACTGAGAAGGATAATGAGAATGAACACCTATTTTATAAATTCTTATTTCTCATGTTATTTTGTTATCTTTAAAATGTATAAGTTGCCATTAGAAGCATACCTTAACCAAAATAACAGCTTTGGATATTTTGGAGACACTTAGGTCTTGAGCTGAAAACAATATTTGTGTGTAATAATTGACTAATTATTAAAGTTCAGGCCTAACATTCTTGAAGCTTCAAGAATTCTTTTAATCTGGATGGTCACTTTTCAGATTTCCCATGTGGTTTTCGTTGTGAGGCGCTGTGCTGCAGTGGGATGAATGATGCTGTTCACATTGCTTGGCCTGTGTGGTGCATTCTAACCAAATTCTCATTCTTTCTGTAGGAGCCATTCATGGCAGTCAACAAGGAAGAGCAGAGGGAGATCTTCAGGGAAGGGAAAACTGGGAGAGACCCAGCCTGTGTTTCCTCAAGTTCTGAAGCCTTCCTTTGAAAAAGGAGACAGAGTCATGTCAGTCATGGGATGATGTGACTTCCCACATGCCCATACATAGAGGTGCTTTCTGAACTACTGTGGGGCTCATACAGTTGGAAGTCTATATTAAATAAACATTCAAAACATTACTCTTTTATTATTATTCTTTAGATTTTCAGAGCATTTTTAAAAATGCTGCCAAAACCTACAACAGGGACTGTATGTTATTTCATACATAATACTTGGGGTGTTTTACCTTTTGAAGGATATATGACCAATTCCACAAATACTATATTATAAATACCATACTAAGATAGCATGAAGTTTCCACAGGTGATTGTTTTCAGTTTGTTTGAGATCCTTTTTAGAACAAATGGCATTCAGAAGATGTCTTATCCCATGGCAGAAGGGAAAACAAGTTATGGGAAATTAACTGCATTTTGGTCCCTGTGACACTGTTGTGGTGAAAAATGGGCAACACACCAGAAGTGTGGCCCTCAGCTTTCCCTGATGGCCCCAGAAACACTGCCAGCTCTGGAATTTCTGGAATTTCATCTGTCAGGAATTTCATAGCCTGCTTTGAATGTGCAAGAACCTCATCTCCTGTCAATAAATCCACAAAGGGCACCTTTATTTCAAGCTATTAGAGGTTTGGATTTCTACAGAAAACATAAATAGCTCCTTCAGTATTGGTTTTTACCAATATTACTGAATGGGACAAGCCCTGCTGCTGAACCAAACAGCGGCTCCTGTGGTGTTTTGCACCCCAGAGACACTTTTGGCAGGCCGTGGGTCGCAGCTGGGCACGCTGGGACAAGTCCGGGCATGGCCGAGCTCCAGTGCCTGCGGGCTGGAGTTTGTTGGTAGAACAGGGTCACTCCTCAGGCCTCCCTGAGCTGGAGAAACCTTTCAAGGCAATGGTGAAGGAAGGAGTCGGTCCTGATGGAGAGTTTAATCCAGAGGATTTATTCTGGGCTGCATGGCCTCTGGATGTAGTAACAGCTTCACAGGGACCTTCTCAACACGTGGTGTGCCCATCCTATTACCTGGGGAGAAGGGGAGGGGAGGGGATCCAGGGAGCACCAGCCAGGCACAGGGGAGGGGGTCTCAGGTGAGACCAATGGCCGCCCAGGGGTGGAGAGCATCCTTTGAATCTGCCAATCGCTCGATGCCTTCTGGAACTTCTGGTTTGATAGACAGTGCCCAGCAGGAGTCAGGGTGGGGGAAAGGAGAGGTGACTGACCCCTGGGGAAGGACCTGGGTAACTGAGGCAAGCCATGACATCACACTGTAACACTTCAGTAGTGCATCCTGTGGATCCTGTTTCAGATCATTAGGGTGAGGGTGGTCAGGCACTGGCACAGGTTGCCCAGAGAAACTGTGGATGTTCCATTGCTGGAAGTGTTCAAGGCCAGGCTGGATGGGGCTTGGAGGAACTTGATCTAGTGGAAGGCAGTGGGGTTGGAAAGAGATGAGCTTTAAGGTGCCTTCCAACTTCCAAAATATTCTATGAATCTGTGATAATTAGAAAACATCAAGCAGTCTGTTAATTAAATTCCAGCATGGTATGACCCAGCCTTACCTGTCTCACACCCTTTTTCCTCTGGAGCAGCTCTCTGTGAAATGGCTCGTGGCACGAATCTGCAACATTTCAGTGTTGTTAACAGAGACAGGCTTCTTTTCCCTCCTTCTTACCCCATCTTACATTCAACGTCATGCAGGCTGTTTTGTAGCTTTATGAAATAAATGCTTTGCTGGCATGTTTCATACTAACATACAAGTATAGGTTTTGTGCTTCCTACAAGCCACCACTATTAATTTACATCATGAAGTTAGTCTGCTTTGTAAATATACAATAAGAGAAAGTCATTGCTCAAAGTCACTGCATCCTGAGTAGTCATAAGAACTACCTAACAGAGAGCTCTTTGGAAAATAAGGAATTTGGTGTAAGTTTTCTTATCCTTTTGATTCTAGTGTCTAATGAAGAATGGAAAATTTTCATTATGTGTAGAAACTGGTGATAGAGTCAGACATCCTTGGCAAATTATGTTTAGTCAGAACAATGTGCTGTTTTAAATGTGAGAGAGATACAAATAACAGCTCTCTGCTCATGGCTGCAATGCATTACTGCGGCCAGACCATCGAGCCAAGAAGAGGTTCTTCATTCCCTTCTGAGGTGTTTAAGAAAATACAATATATGTATTTATACATATTTTTCAGTGTTCTGAGTCTTATGAACATATTGAAGCTTTCCAAAAGTCTTTCTGTTGCTGATTACTTTACTGAGCTACTTTTTGCTCTCTTTCATTGCAAATCAGTCTCAAGAAAGTTGAGCTCAGAATCTACCCAAGTTGCTCTCGTATTATTCTAAATGGAGATAACTAGCTCACACTAACATTATCTTTCACTGAGAAACTTGGAATAATTTAGGAGAGAGTTGAACACTGTGCCATTACTCATATCTGGAGGAGTTTGTATTTGAATATTGCCAATTAAAGGTGCCCTTAGAAATAGCTGAAAGAGGAATGACTTCTGAGGCTTCTGTTGCTTTCTAATTATATCTTGCTCAGAACTCGAAGTCTCACAGCACCCAGCACTAACAGAAGTTAGAATGGCATGTACTTCTCAGAGGACTTTCACCAAACAATTTTTCTGGCTTGCACTGCATTTCTAGGGATTCCGTAAATTTGACTATTCCATCAATTCTTCAAGCATGTTGTGTAGTAAACAGCTTTTGTAAACTTATACTGGTATTTTTGTCAGGAAGGTTTTCTGCTTGAAAACCAATGCTTTTTAATATCATTCACTTGTTTCTAATCATCTGTCTTTAATTGTACTTTTAGCTGTCTGAGCTCCCTTTTAGGCCTTTTACTTAGTCACACTCATTCTGTTATTATTAAGTAATTTCTGGCTTCCAGTAGGTTTTGCTGGTCTTTGAATAAACATGAAAGGTTCAATAGTAGTTTTATAGATGCAGGAATGGTAGAGAAGAAGAACCAGCTATTTTTGTGTTGCGTTTGACTGAATTTTCCATATATCAAAATGTTCTTGTTATATCTGAACGTCATCCCACATCCAAAGGAAAATTCCTCTGAAGTCATATCCAGGCAGGAGAGAAGATGGGGGTTTGTGTTGCTGGAGTTGCCATCACCAATTCTCATCCTCTGGGATCTTTCACCAGATATTAGAACCTAGGGCAGCCTTTGAGGTGCTCTCAGAACATGGCAAAGGAAGAACCTGCTGGATCCACTCTCCTGCACACCTTTCTGTTCCAGCAGCTGGTACTTGCTTAACAGGAGAAAAATATGCTTTGAATATTCCCACTTCAGTCAACGAATACATTTAAATGGAGGAGAGTTCCACTCTGCTTCTTCAGTGAATATTCCTCCCTTCACATGTTTGCGTAGCTACAACTTCCCTACAAGTAACCCACTGAATTTGCTTTTCCATGTATCTTCCATCATTGTTATTTCCTTTGGCTTGGCAATGTTATGGCATTTTATTTGAGGAACTTGTTTTAGGCCTCAGCTCCTGAAGGTTGAAATACCAACATAGACATAGGCCAGAGTCCCAAAGGAGTACCTAGGATTACCAAAACATGAAATTTCCATAAGATGATAGCTCTATAACCAGAGTATGTGGGTCACGTCTTCTCCTTGGCTCTCTCTGTTGCATAAATACAAACCAGTAGGGAACATTGTATGTTCAAGGTGATTTTTTGTCTTCTCATTTAATTGGCAGCATACATGGTGTCTATGCAGACATGGAAACAACAGCACTACTAAACCTCAGCAGGAAAGAGACTGTTTTATTTTGTGGTGTTGGGCAGTCAATGGGACAATTCAAAATTACATTTATTTGTGGATGCTTGTTCTTCAACAAACAGGTAACTGCAGTATTTCAGGTATTTCCACCCAGCACAAACTCCTCACACATACAAATCTCATCTGGCTGGAGGCTTCACTGCGAAGGCAGCATAACTTCATGGATTTTACAGCAACATTCCATGCCGACAGGTAGGTTGCTGGGAGCTGAGCATAACTTCTGATCTCCTGCTGACCAGGTAGGTGCAGGTAGGTGTTTAGTCTCAGCTTCTTCCCTTCACAAGTGCATGCATGGCTCCCCTGGGTATTTCATTATGGAGTTCTAGGAAAAAAAAAAAAAAAAAAAAAAGCATGCCAGAGAAAAGCAGAACATTTATAATTTAAGAATAAATAATAAAGTTGCTGGAGGGTATAAAAAAAAACATGAAAGTTATTAACTACGGTGGTAATGTCTATTTAAAATGGTAATGAAAAGCATTCTGCTCTGAAAGAAAACTATTAAATAAAGACTCAAATAACATTTTCAATCAGACCAACACCACTGCTATTACCTAACTTGCCCAGAGTTTACCTGAGGACCTGGTATTTTGCACTCTAGCAGACTCAAAGTTCATGGACACCATATGATTCTCTGCTCTGACCATTGGTTTTGACAGAGTCACACCAGAATAAAATTTTTCTAAAAGGATGAGCAAAGCTATTAAACATAGAGTGGGGACTGAAACTGGGAGCTGATGGTGTTTTATAAAATGGTTCTGTACTGGTTGCAGTGGCTTCAGTACTTGTTTTAACACTGTTAGAAGGGAGCAGGATCTGGTCTTTTGCCCTGGGTTTTGTTGCAGGGCAACACCAAGTATGGGTTTATTCATCCTCTCAGGGCATCAAAGAAGTGCAGCACCACTATTTGTTGTCTTTACCATGGTTTTGCCTCTAATTTTACATGCATGGTTGGTGTGGGGTGGTGCCTTGTCCCATTCCTGTCCCGTGCTGCCCCAGTTCTTTGTGTGGGACAGTCATGGGGGTTTGCTGGTGCTTATGGTCTCCTTCATTTTTTTCAACAGGTTAAAGCCAAGTGGAAGCATCTTTATATGTGTATTAGTATCTGGACTGAAGCTGGGTCATCTTGGGCTTCTGCATTTTGTTGTCTCCCTGTTCTGAGTAAGTCCAGCAGGATGCAGGTTACGAAAAAGAAAGGAGGGAAAAGGTGCAAAGGGAGGTCTTTTGGCTTCAGCTAGTTCTGGGCATTTGGAACAGGACATTTGGGCTTGGCATTGTCTGATTTTCCCCCTACAACCCAGTCTCGCTCCTCTCTTGCAGTAATTTGGATTATGATCTTTTTTCCCCCATCCAATCACCTCACTGTTTTGGCTTTTCGTTTTTGTGGGGTTTTTTGTTTGTTTTGGTGGGTTTTTTTAATTGATTTCTTTTTCTTATGAAAGCTGGGACAATTTGTCTCAAATACTTGAAGCAAAGATTAATCCAGTTTTTAAGAACTCACAGGGGTCTGTTTCTAAGAAACACGGGGGGGGGCATGTGTTTTCACAGGACAGAAAGTCTCCAAGCAGATGTTGCTGCTCCTCCAGAAATGCGCATGGATATTGAGAAGTGCATTCTCTTTGTAGCTTCCTCCTAAAAAGCAACTGCTAAGTAAGGTGCCCTTAACTGTAGGCTTTTAGTAGCCAAAACCATGAAGTGGAAAGTGGGGAGCTGAAGGATCTCAGACAACGAGCTCCAGGAGCCCAGAGAAGGAGGGCACTGTGGTGAGAGGAGATGGATGACATCAGAGTCCTGCTGGAACCCAGACTCTGCTAAAACTGCATGCGATGTAAGGAGATGGAAGACACTTTCTATCAACTTCATAACAGTTTTCTAAGGAAAAGCAGCTGCCTCTTGCCCTTCCCTCCTGAAATAAAACAGATCTGCTTCCTGTTTTGCATTGTTGACATTAGGTTTTTGTTAAATGGTGCTGTCTGTTGGAGGAAGTAGAGGGGGAGATGCAGGGGAGTCACCATTCTCACTCTTCATGTGCTCCTCTCAGAGGGTACTTCCTGAAAGCTGCATCCAGGGCAAGTATGTGATGCAAAACTTCTAGTGGGTTCATCCCATTCCAACTCCTTCCAGCTGACACTTGATCTGGAGAGCCTCTGAAAGCAGCTGAGATGTTACAGTTCAGCAGAAACTGACCTTGGGCCACCCCAAGGGATATAACTGCTAGCTCTGTACCCTCAAATGGTCCCAAGGAGTCAAGTGGAGGATGGCAAATTATAGTAGGGCTTAATTTTTGACCCCCAGGAGAGCCTGAAGGTCTTTTCGGGTATCAGGATGATCTCAGTGGATGCCCTAAAGCACATTTGGTCACCAAGTAACTTCAAGAGACACTGTGGGTTCATAGGGACATCTCAGAGGTCTTCTGAGAAAGAAAAACAGCACAGGATGGGCCTGAGCTGATCTGCAGAGTTAGACTTGGTGCATGGACATCTGGAACTGACCTCTAGGAGCTAATATGGCAACCCCAAAATAACATGCACAGCATGCGTGTTTGGGGGCAGAAGAAGTCAACAGTTAGGACATGGGCATCATCTGTGGTTGCTAATTAGCACAGAGAGTTACTTGAGATCACAATTAATAGATGGAGTTACTAGAGGTCACCTTTACTCCAAAATTTTGACTCATGGTCATCTGAGATCACTAATCATCACATAAAGTTATTAGAGAGCAACATTATCCCAAAATTTCAGCTTGTGGTCATCCAAGACCAACCAGCCACTGGCTTTTTGGGGTATCAGCTGAGGTCACCAAATTAACAGAAATTTAATTATTAATTAATAATTTAATAATTAATTAATCTTGTTTATAACAACAAGAGTCTCTGCTGAGCGTTGTTCAAAGACATAAAGGAGAATTACTGCTGGGGACAGTGTCAAACACATGATTATAAAACCAGAAAACTTATTTTATACCATGGTTATTAATTTCAAAAATCACAGACATGTTCACTATTTCTACAGCTGCTCCCATCCACCACTTCCATTAGGCTATCCTTTCCAGTCATCCAACACTATTTTAACACTGTATTTTCAACTGCAATGTGATGTGAAAGCAAATGCCTGATTTTTTTCCTAAAAAGATAAAGGCAGAAAAAGGCCCTGCCTATAAGATAGGAATTAATTTTTATAATCTAAGGGAGAATTATTTTTCCCAACCATCTACCTTCTTAACCATGCTCTGTTTAACAAAATGTGCTTCCTAAACTTTATTGTCTCCTGTGCTCTAAGAACACAAGACACTACACAGGTGTCATAGGTGGCTGGATTTTAAGCAGGGGAAAACATGGCAGATATCTGCCATCTATACAATACTACATGCAGAGCTCTTCTCTCTAGCACAGAATTCAAAACACATTTTTCAACCATAACAAAGAAAGCCATACCTTGCTGTGTTCAAATCTTCTTGTCTTTAGCCAGGGTTTAGCAGATACATTGGAGATGATTCAATTTTAGTGAAACTGTGCAGGGATGCAGAGCAAACAGGAGCCCTCTTCACTGCCTCAAGGCAGAAATGGATGCAGCAATGAGAATAAAGGTCTGTCTGGAAAGACAAAATTGTTTGATCAGATCAAAAACATTTTTCGGGAGAAAACTCATAAACCAGGGAACAAAATAAAAAAAAATCCTTTTTTAATCATCCAAAATGAGCTGAGTTCTGCTTGGACTTTATAAGGAAGGAGAAAGTTGCTAACACTGCAACCAAGACAATAGGTATGAGTCTTCACACCTACAGTTGACCACAGCATGTTCATTTGTGTCAGCTGAGACACAGACAGGCTCCAGCCTACAAACTGCAAATCCCATAAGGAGCTGCTGCTTAAGCTAGTTTAGTGCTGAATTAACTAATTGTAGGCGGTAAGTAACTAATGAAGTAATGCAATGATTTAAATCACATTTAAAGTCACAGCTGCTCTCGTATTGGGCAGATCAGAGTACACCAATTCAGTGATTCTGGATTTGTATCTTTGGCATCCTCAGTCATGAGGATAACCTGACTCTTTAGATGGTGACATCCTCTACTTGCCAACCCACAGCCCTTCCAGTGAAATCCTGCTGTACAGTAGCAAAATTTGACATCCCAGTGAGAACACAGCCGCTCACAGACACAAGGTTTAATTCTCATCCAATAAATAGATTCTACCTTCCACTTGCCCTCTATTTCATTCACAGCTTCCTTCTTTCTGCACTGTTCCCCAGCTTCTTTCCTTGGAAGCCAAGCTCCTCCACTTCCTCTTCTACTTTGGGCCAGCACATTCATGCAGTGGGAACAGGGGCCTAGATATGTTAAAAAAATTCCCCCCAAAGGAGGGAGTTATCTGCTGGTGCTGTGCTGATGAAGGGCTGTGGCTGATAGAATTGTAGTGCTTAAATAAAAGCAGAAAAGGCATGGAACCATGTGCCATGGGGAACTGGGCTGCTTCACAGAAATAAAGGAAAGGATGAATAGGTGAGACAGTCTCTCATCACTAGACAAGACTTCACATATAGGCCTTCCTCTTGCCTCCCAGCAATGACACTGGCTTTCTTTCATAGCAATCCATGCATTTCAAAGGGCCAATAGCATAAAAGGATTCCAAAAATAGGTTAAAGCCTGAAACCAAAAAGCAGCTGTTTCATTAGCAACAAGAGAAGCAGAAGGGGAAAGAATTGTAGGACAGAGCTCCCTAAGTGTGCCAAATTACTTGCATTTGATGTATTTTATGCTATCTAACAGACATTTTTCTAGAATCAGGACACATTTCAGAAGTACAGTAACTGATATAGCTACAACCTGCTGTATGTGCTCTTTTCTCCTTACACCAAGAAGGATTACTGAGAATCAGAGTCCTGGGAAATGAAACATATCAGCACTCCCTGTTACAGGACATCCTACAGGATCATCTTGCACTGGAACAGGAAGCTTGCATCACTGCTGTGTTCTGATGTAACAGCTAGACACATACTCTGAACTTGTGCTTACAAAGTATCAGTGTCACAAGGTGGATCCTCTGCGACCTACACATCCCTGGACTACATTTCCTGTAGAGAAGAAATCCTGTCCATGAAGATGAACATTCACGCTTTATCCAAATCCTTTGCAATTCATCACAGGCCAGGTTCATCCTCTATCTTGGAATGACAGCCTGGAAACAAAATGCAAATGGTGAGCAGAACAAAGAGTGATTCAGTGTCCTCAGTCCAGCCAGGACTCACTGTGTTAGGTGGCAAGAGGAGATACAGAAACCCATCCTGTGTGTGTAAGTACACAGATATTCCAGTTTAGAACAGGTACTGGATTCAGACTGAGTTTAGGGATGGCAGATCTCAGAGCTCTAAAAATGTTGGTGTTAAAGTGGTAGGTGCTGCTGCCTATCCCTGGTCGAAGGGCAAGCTGAGTGAACATTCAGGCAACACAGTCAAACCTCCACTCAAGACTCACTCTATTGCTCAGCTGGCTCAGCAATAGAGGCAAGAAAGGCTCTTTTGCAAGGGTTTATTCCAGCAGGGTAACACAGTCGCTGGAGGACAAACCCAGGGAAAGAGGATGAACCACGTGGAGCAAGCAGCTTATAAAGGGGAAGGGTGGGAGGCAGAAGTAAGGGCTGGGCAGAGGGGCCTGGCCACCAGGGGGAGGGGGGTGGCCACCAGGGGTGCCAAGCCAGGGACAGCAGAAACCAGAGGAAGTTGTGACACCAAGTCTATGGGGGAGTCTGTTTTTCCCTTTGGGAGGGATAACTCTGTGGTAAGTAGTTAATGTTTCCAGAGCTGAGGGCCTGGGGATTGACCAAGGCGGGAGAGCTCACGGGATGCTACAGAGTTCATGACATCATTAGACAGCTAGTATGCACACTCATATCAGAACTGAGATTAAACTAAATATCCAGCAGATTTGTGCACCACTGACAACTATGTGATGTGAAAAGGGATGAAACAAGTTGAAGATAAACCCTTCTGACTAAAAAGCAAGGGCAGGAAGAGACGCACCAATATTCAAGCTACAAACAAAGCTTGGAAATGAGAAATTCAATCCTAGTTCTATTAGGCAGCTGAATTGATCACAAATGCCTCATTTCTCAGTCTCCATATAAACCACCCCTAGGGCCAACTTACCCTGAGACTGTCATAGCAGAGACCCCCGTGTAAGAGCACTCAGCGGTGGGACAGCTGATCTTCCCAAAATTTGGCCAGGCTGGGTGTGGACAGCCAGCAGCCACTGATGGCTCGTGGTCTGTGGTGTCCTTAAGGAATGCAGCTCCTCAAGTACCCAGAGGCTCAGAGATGTGCCACACATGTGTTCCCATGGAAAACGTCATGAGTCCACATCAGCTGTGGGAAAACGGTGTGGGAGACAAAGCAGTCTTCCATCATTCCTGTACTTCATCCCTACTGACATGCTTTGCTGCCTGCAGCTGGTCCCTGCACATGGACAACCACTGGGGAACTCCTGCTCCTTTCATCTGCTCAGGAATGCTCAGCAGGAGCCAGCCTTCCCTATTGCTGCCTCTCCACCCCCACAGCAAGCTCTGGGTACGGCATGGGAGGCAGAGGTGTCTGCGTCACAAGCAGGGATCTGTTATTCCAGGTCCCATGGCAGTGACTACTGAGGTGTAGCTGACATTCCTGCTTCTGTGCCAGGGAGCTTAGTTTCAGCAAAAGGTAAGGAAGGTCAGCAGCCTCAGAGGAGTTACGGAGAATTGCCAGGTCTGGCTGCACCAAGAGCAGTCCAGACAGAGAGCCATAAGGAAAAGGAGGGCTGGGATAGGGCAAGGGAGGGGAAGGAATTTGTCAATAAAACAGCAGATACTTGAGAGTGAAGGCAACTCCTTTTCTTTTTCCGGCTAGATGGAACTTGTACAGATGGAGACCATACTGCTCCTAGACAAGGACCAATGATACTTTTGACAGTACAAAATGTCCACAGCCAATTCCAGTGTTCAGCTGCCAAAGTCATACCTGAAAATATGCTGCTATCTGGGCAAAGAAAGCAGAAGTGCTTTCTGCATTGCCTCTCTCACTATTTGCCTCAGATTTAGCCTTGGAAGACACCCAGTGCTTTAAAGACCAAGGCAGATAGGGTAGAACTGATCCAGATAAATCAATTAAGAGGTCCCCATCTGAGCTACTTGGATTAGACTCTCTCCTGAATTGTTAATGGACATCATACGATTCATCATGCACTAAAATAGAGAGCTAAAATAGGACAGGTGACTCATGCCTAAAAATAGATGATCACTTCCATTAACTAATAAGGGAAGCCTGGAGTGTTCAGTTCAGCTGCAAGTGTATGTACATCACAGGTGTCTGAGGTGGAGAGAAGTGAATCCCATACCAGGTTATTGTCAGTAGCAGGAATGGCTCCTTTTCCAACAGTGCCTGCAGATCCACTGGGACAAACACTTGTGTGCTTTGCTACCTTTCTCTGTCTGCCTCCCCTGCCTCCCCCTACCTGAGCACAAAGCCCAGGAACACGACAGTCAAGGCTCAGATACACAGCACAGTTCCTTCCTCTTTTAAGGTACATTTGAGCTGTATGCCCCTCCTGGAGATCAGAGATACCAAAACAAGGCTTTCAGCCCTGGCTCCACACCTACAGCACTGCAGAAGAGCTAAGTGCCATGTGTCAGGTGAATGGCCATGGAACAGTGTCCCTGTTGCTCCTGCCAGCCCCCTCCTGCTGTAATCAAGGGTCAGTCCCTCAGTCAGCTCCAAAAGCTAGCACTTCACTGTGACCCGGTGAAACAGGGGAGAGGAGCTGTGGGAATAGAGATGGTTGCCTTGTCATTATCTTCAAGGTAGGTGGGGAAGAAGAGAGAGGGTCCCAGTGTGACAGGCCAGGTGGTTCAAGGACAAAACTACCTGGTGGTGACCAGGAGGGATCTTTACTAGCAGGAAAGTCATCTCTGGGGATGAGAAGAAAATTGTGCTCTTGTAAAGAAATGCTCTTATAACAGAGAAGAAAAGACTTAACTTTGCAGGGCCTGAAAAAATCATTGGGAAGACTTGCATGAATTTGAAAGCTTCATTTGCCCATGTCACCATGTCACCTCCAGAGAGGCTGTGGTGGGGCACTGAGCTGCCAGAAAAGAACGGGAAGATGGTTTGAACTGCACAGCCTAATCCAAAAACCATTCCTGACTTCTGTGTCAACTCCAAAATTAGCAGGGTTTCTTTACATCAAATCTTCCAACATCCCTCTAATATCACAACATTTTTCTCATGACCACTGCTCCTCTGTGACCATGTTGGTACCTAAGTTCTGTTTCCACCGTGGGATATAATGACTCCCCTGGTTAAGGCACAGTGAGTGCTACTGAAAAAGCCCTTGGTTCACTGTTAGGTTTGCCCAGCCAAAATCCTTTCCTTCAGGGAGGAGAGGCATGGTGTTCTCACTGTGTATTAAGATTTTTATCTGGAGTTACTATGAATTAGCTTTCCTCCTCAGCATGTCTGGACATCTAATTGTAAAAACCTGTATGGCTACTGTGTGTCCTCTTGGCCCACATTTCCCAGCCTCTAGACCCAAGATAACCAATCTTTCACTGACTTTGTCCCAGAGCAGTACTGCACTCATCCTAGTAAATCCTAATGCTGGCCAGCAATCCCCTGCTAGCATGCAGAGGGAACAACTGCTTAAACTCACTGCTTAGGCATCCAAAGGACCTGTGGGCACGATCACAGATCCACTTTTATGTACCTGTTGTACAGATACAGAATATAAAGGATTTAGTCAAAGATATTCTGGAGGCATCAATAACTTAACATTGCAAAAATGTAAGCCTTTTGGGTGACTATCCCAGTGAGTGCTGTGCAGATTCTTGGTAATTAGTACTGCAAACACCATCATTAAACTTTAAACTAATATTAAGAAAATGTGCAACTGAGCATGCTAATAATAACACCAGCCGGTTTGTTATACTGAATGTCTCCATAAAGATATTCTTTTAACACCTTTGGCACAACTGGGACCTTGCATAATTAAATTTGATTTCACTTTCTTACAACTCTAAGCATAACTGGAGATTTCTAATTAGTTACAATTATTCTTTCAGAAATGTGTTTCTATTTAGTATAATCTTGTATTCTTCCAGCCAAATGCCATATGTATTTGTTATTATTATCTCTTACTGACAGCTTTTTAACTGAGACACTTTGACCGAGATAAATAACTATATAGCTCCCAACCACAATTCTTTGTGTGGCATCTGCTTTGGGTGATAAAATAATTTACTAAGTGAAAAATAGCAGTTTATGGAGATAAGATAATTTTCCATTCTATTATTTTAAGTAGAGATAAAAATGCAGGCTGATTATCTTCTAAATCTAACATTTCCACACCCCACCCTACCAAAAGCTGCTAATAAAGTGCCCTCATTAATGACACTTCCTCAACTAATTGTGTTTCCCTTCTGCCTTAAACAGCAGACAAGTAGGCTGCAGTTTCCTCTCCATGTCTACAATGCCTGCCTAGCTGACATGCCCAGGAGCACTCCTCGTGCCGCTCAGTGGGAGATGGAGGACCAGAATCACCCATGCCCAAGAAACCCACCCCATTGCCAGCCAAATATGTTCTAGCAAAGGGACAGTCCCTGCTGGTCTCTGTCGGTGCAATACAACCCATGCTCTGTGCTACCTCTGCTCTGAAGCCATGAGGTGCCAATTACAAGAGCAGTTAAGCAAAAAATGCCTGTTTTCTGTACCGTTGTCCCCAAGCTGAAAAAGCCCAGATGTGTTCTCTCGTAGAGTTCATTCAAGCAAGAGGGAGAGGCTGAATTACCAGCTAAAATGGAAACAGACAAAAAGTGATAAATTGGAGAACAATCCACCGGAACTTATTTACTTCTGGAGAAATTAATGAAGTCCATGAGCTCATAGGTTGCAAAGCAAATTAAATAAATGTCTTTCCCTTTTAAAATCTGGGGAATTACAGGAAGTAGAATTGACTTTATGCTTGTCTTCCCTTTAATTCACTACAGGTAGCAGTCTGGTGAAACACAGAAGGGAAATGGCAAGAGAAATCTATATCAAAATGAAAACAACATTAAATGAAGGAGCTGGAGCAGGTCAAGGAGTAGTGTATAACTTTAAACATTATATAAGTTATTTTGTCATACTTACCATTTCCCTACTTTAAATTCACAGATGT